CCAACGCCTTGCACACAGTCCCTCGCTTCACACTCACCCCCTTGCTGGGTCTGCCTGTCGCCACCCTGCGCTCAGGGTCTTCAGTCACTGCCTGTGAGCCCAGGGTTTGCCTGTCGCTGTCTTGCGCACCTGGGATGCCTCGTGTGCCCTGTGCCACCGCTTTTTGTGCCTCGACCCCTCTCCACTTGGCCGCCCGACTCTGCCCCGCCTACTGGTCTGGATGAATGTGTCTATTTTAACTCCTTGGTTATTGGACTTTCATACAGTTCAATTTTCTGTCATTCTGTTGTTATTTTGTTTCTAAATTGTTGTCCTTATTTTGGTTGTGTGAGGAGGCACAGTGTGTCTACCTATGCCTCCATCCTGCCTTCAAGTTCTTAAGTAGACAATCCAATGGGGAGTCTTTGGGCGGGGTCGATTGAGTATTGCCCACACTGAGAACTACAAAGAAGAAGAGAGAAGGGAGTCTCAGGGATGAGAACAGCTGAGGGACAGGGGAAGGTTTGAAGAGGGCGTCCCTAACTCAAACAAACTAGAGGTCTGTGGCTGGAGCTGAGCGGCCAGACACAAGGTTCTGCTTCAGAGCCAGGCGTCCCTGGGCCTGGAGGGTGGACCGAACCAGCAGGGAGATGGTGAAGCCGTCCTGCCCAGCCGAAGCCCTATGAACATGATAGACCCAGAACCGGGTTTACGACAATGAGACAAGGGGATAAGCTGTCACTTTCCATTGGATGTTTTCATCCCAAGATTCAGAGAAACTTACTGAATGATCGCTGGCCGTGAAGATGGGTGAGAGGAGGCTACCACAGAGTCCAGAGAGACGGAGGAGTAGGACTAGGCTTCTCTCTCCGAACCTCACAGAGGCAGGGTTAGGGGGTTAGCCTGGGTCGAGCTTTCGCTGCCCCCTGCTCCCCTAGTCACAAGTCTCAGGGGCTGGGGAAGAGGGAGAAATAATGTCCCCATATGGGCCACCAAAATGTTAGGTGGTCAGTGACATGGGCTGTGAAAGAAGGGAAGAGAGTGTAGAGAGTAAAGTTTGTATTCACGTTCCTAGAGCGGAGAGGGGCACCATGTGGAGACACACACTAGCATGGAGGGAGGGGGCTTTGAGCTTTTTACCGGATTATAATTGGTTAAAAAAGGGGGGTGCTGTTGTGAGGCCCTGGGCTGTTGGAGTATTGTAACTCCAGGCTGCAGTTTGTTCCAGTGTTATCTTCCGCCTGTGGCTGTGGGGAGCGCTTAGTTCTGTTCTTGCTTCCCAGTACTGTCCAGTCCTGGGGACGGACTCAGAAGAGTGAAATGGGTTCAGGTTTACCAAGGTCACAGGCCTGCTCAGCAAGTGGTGCCACGGTAGCAAATGGCTCTGGCTTCGTCCTTTCACATTTTATACGTTTTATTATAATCATTTATCTCCTATTTTGGTCCTTGGTAATCTGATGAAAGTTATGGATTCTCTTTCCAGAAAAATACCCCGTACATTCAATTGAATAATTGAATCAGTGCCCCATCAGAGTGGGGGTGAGGGTTGGTTGGCTGAGGTGGTACGAAGCCTGCCTCCCAGGTTGTCTTCACTGAGCTACCGTGGTGGAGCTGAGACTGGCGCCTGGGACAGGCTGCCCGGGCAGTGTGCCCTCTGCTTTCGTCTGGTTCTGCCTTCCAGGGATTTGTATTCTGGCTGGGATTATAAAGGGAGAACAAGAAAGAAAGGATCCTGAATTACTCCCACTTTTCTCCTAGTTAGTTCTTAGAGCAGCCCTGTGTGGGGGCCCTTATTAATGTTCCCTTGTTACAGATGAGAAAACTGAGGCTCAAAAAAGGTAAGAAGCAGAGAGATCAGGGTTGACTCCCAAGTCTCCAAATGCCCAGATAATTAGTGAGCAAAATATATAATTGAGTGGTAACAATTTAGCACTTAGTCGTACACTTTCCCACACTGTATTGTATATCATTTAATACTAATTACAGGGTTTCAGAATGAGCTGAGGTGGGGTGGTTGAGAATGTCAGGGGATGGCTTCTTGGAGACTCTGGAAACTGAGCTGGGCCTTAGAGAGGATTTGGGTGGAGCTGGAGCGGGTGGAGCGGAGTTCTGGAGAAAGGAATAGAATCATGAAGGCATCGGTGGGATTGAGCATGAGTGGGAGCAGGAGTGGTCTGGGATAGCGATATTTAAATAATGGAACTCTGTAAATGTGAGCGTAAGTGACGTTCGCTGAGATCTTTGTGAGTGCCAGGTGCTGCGCTGAGCCCTTCCCACTGTCGCTGTGTGCAGCCCACGCTGGCCCCGGGGGGGAAGGAAACTCCACCCAGACAGATGCTGCCATTACCTCCACCTCATGGACGAGGAGACTAATGGCAATGTTGCCCTGCGAATTGGAGCCAGGCTGGACTGCAAAACGTGTTCTTCTTAGCTCAAGTTCAAAGACATCCTATTAGAAGTGGGTGTATTGTGAATAGTGGGAATAAGAAGACTAATCTAGGGCCTTGTTACTCAAAGTGTGGCCCAGAAGGAGCTTGTTAGAAATGCCATGCCCCACACTCCCACTTCTCCTGAATCAGAGCCTGCCTTTCAGCATAATTTCCAGGTGATTGGTGTGCACATTAGCATTTGAGAAGCACAGGCTGGTAAAAAGTTTGGCTGGATAAATGCTTGCGCTCTTCCAGTCTGCTGATGATGTCTTCCTCCTGGCGAAGGTGTATAAATGTGTTCCTGGAGAGTACGGGTGAGGGCCTGGGGCAGGCAGCCTACCACAGCTGAGATCTCTTCGAAGTCTCATATTTCATCTGACAGTATCATAGAATGTTTCATTCCATACTGTAATATGTCAGTGCTCATTTCAGTATTTCAAAATGGTTATGTAAATTGCCTTGGAGGAGGATCCAAGTTTCTTTAAGATGCATTGGATGGGCTTCCTTGTATCTTAAGTGGGGTGATAATAACCACTGCAAGGGCTGCTCTGAAGATCAGGGGAGAATCACGCATATAGGAAAGCTGCCTAAAGTGTCCACACGACACACGTCTTGTTGTTCTGGAAGGAATGGAGCCTCCTCCCCAGACCCAGTGTCCTGCATCCAGTGCTCCGTAGGCTCCGGCCTTGGGTTAGGAGTGACCCTCTGGGTTCCCCAGCCAGGGGGCCATTTCCTTGTCATTGGAAGGGAAGTAAAGACAGAGGGAGAGAGACCCAGAAAAGTGCGATGGACAGAGACAATGTCCATCCATGTCTGAGGCCAAAGAGGAAGGGTAGCCAGAGAGGCCCAGGCAGAAAGCTGGAAGAAAAGGAGGCTCACCCAGAACTGCCGAAGCTGGAGGAGGAGAACTGGGGCAGGGGTAGGTGGTCAGCCGCTCCCCACAGCACGGAGCGCTGGACAGGGAGAAGGGAAGAGCTGTTTATTACATTTGGGTAAGGAGGTTGGGGTCACCCTTGGGTAGGGGTCTGGCGGCGCAGTGGGCTCTAAGCCAGACTGTGACAAATGAAGAAGAGAACAAGGGGGATCTTTCCCCTCCATCTTCTCCCCAGGCTGATGATTTGGATTTTTACACAAATGGCATTTTTATTACAAATGTCTTACTTGCCAATTAAAACTTAATCCCTATAATTTGTGACTAGAACCAAACTGATATTCTCTCTTTGATTCATTACTTGGCAAAAAGTTATTTAAAGAACATAGAAAGTTGCAAAGCATCGTTTATAGTGTGATCCTGTTTTTGCTTAAAGGAATATGTGTTTGTGTGTGTATTTATAAGTATGTATATATGTATATTATAAGCAAAGAGAAACATTGAGGGATATATGTCAAATTATAATGAGGATTTTGCTAGTATATACCTGTCACTGTATTTTTTTAAAGATTTTATTTATTTATTTTTAGAGAGATGGGACAGGAGGGAGAAGGAGAGGGAGAGAAACATCCATGTGTGAGAGATACGTCGACTAGTTGCCTCTCTCGCACATCCCCAACTGGGAACCTGGCCTGCAGTGTAGTCCTGTGCCCTGACCAGGAACTGAACCAGTGACGGTTTACAGGCCAGCGCTCATTCCACTGAGCTGCATCAGCCAGGGCTCAGCTGAAACTTGTCAAGTCATAACTAAATCGCCTAGATACTTTTCTGAGCATGGGTGGATCCAGGCGCTCAAACAATGTCATTAGGAATCTCTCTCTGTCTCTCAGATCTGCTGTCTTTACTGACGTCATTCTCAGGCAGTTCCAGACCTGCGTCTCATCAGCTGAGCACTGCCGTGGAAGGGCAGCAGCTTTTTCCTGAGAATATCAGCAAAGCCCAGGGCTGGCTTTCAGGGGCCCAGCTGGGGTCATGGTTCAACCTTAGATCAGTGAATTACTGTGGCTGGGGAAAGCACTATGTTGGTTGGTTAGACCAAGGCCAAGGTCTTGTGACTCAAGAGGAGAACAAAGGCACTGTCAAGTGCTTCTGAGGAAACCAGTGAACTGAACGAAAGGGCAGAATGGTTCCCTGAAGGAAATCCAGAGCTCTGTTGCCGAAAGGGCAGGTGCAAAGCCCTAAATGTCAGCTCTAAAGGGGCCTTGACGCTCTGAGTCACATGTTTTTGTAATTACTGAGAGTTGTTTATAGTAAGCATGCATTTGTCTCGCAGTGGTATGAGAAAGATGAGATCCCCTCTTAAACAACTGATTTGCATCTCATCTGGTTCTAACAATTGAGAAAGGTTAGTAATGAGTGGGAGAAAAGAGTGAAGCCCAGATCTTGTTCAAGCCCTTGATTTTGTAGGGCATGGGAGGAATGAGCAGCGGTACTGGGACTCGCCCTTCTTTCTGTGGATCATTAGTTGTGTGTGTTCAAGACCCACTGGGCCATCAGGCAACCTCTGGGGCTCTGGGGCTCCAGAGTGACGCGCCTAGGGAGCCAAGCCGACGTCAAGGTCAGCTTCTGCCTCTGCCTCGCAGGCTGGGCGCACTGTCTGGGCCTCAGTAAGTGCCTGTCCCTGCGCTCTGGTGTCACACTGCTCTGTTTCTTTGTTTCAGGGTTACACTAAGGACATGGTGACAGACTTTGATGAGAAACATGATGAGTATTTAATACTGCTTCAGCAGAGGAACCGGTAAGATGAAGCCACTCGCCGGCAACCCTTAATATTAGCCCAATAAAAACCCGATTTAGATTTATTATCAGCATGCAGACTCTGGTTCACGTAGGAGTGGGATGCAGTCACCTCCACTCAGAGGCTGGGACTATTATCCTCTGCAATGCCAGCTCCTATTTCTCCGTTCACTGATTTAATTGCATCTTTTGATTGAGCTGTAGCTAACTGTTCCACGTGTAAGTGCTGCCCCCCTCTTGCTTTCCGGTTCTGTTCTGGGAGAAGGTGGGTTTGTCATGAAGAGCTAGAATTTGGCAGGGCCTGTGCCTCAATCACCGGGATAGCCCAGTCTGTGATCTTGCAGGCTGTGCTGGTCCTTTGAAATCTGAGCTGTAATCATGTCTCATTTTTGTAAAGGCGGAGTCATTTTACATTTGTGTTTTGAGTTGGTCCACATTTAAAGTTAAGTGAGTATGGATTTTGACTCCAGAGCGTTGGTTCTTGAAAGAGCTGACAGTGGATGGAGGCAGTGTTTAGTGACCGCAGTCAAAACAGGGGGTCTGGTTTGAGAGAAGCTTCGGTGTCCTCAGGGCTACGAGAATCTGCAAGGCCGGGGAAGTTCCGTTTAGTTCAGTGTGTTCGCCTTCAGGCCTGGGCCCTTGCAGTGAGCCAGCTCTGCAAACTCACATGCTGGGAGGGGCAGGGCAGCTTGGGAAGCTGGCTCAGTGGGGAGAGTGGGCGCCTGGAATTTTCACATTCCGGTGCTTGGCTCAGGCCAGTTGCTTGTGGGAACACAGACCCAGGGGTTCCTGTCCTCCAGGGTCGCCAGCGAAGCTAGAAATCTGGGTTTGTGTTGTGAAACCTCCTGAGTTTTAAAGCGTTAATAATGAATTGAAACGAAAGCACAAAACAAATGGAAGAACGCTGCAGACCACTAAAGCAAACCTGCAGGGAGGGAAGGATTGGGTGCTGATCTGGGCCTTTGTGTTGCCGGAATGAGCTAGGGGTCTTGCAGGCCAGAGGGCCCAGGCAGGGATTGTCATCCTGAATGCGGATTCAGCTCCTGTCTGACTAGCTGAACTCCCAGTTCTTGTCTCCTGGGGCCCTGGTGGCGTGCCGCATGGGACAGGTTTTTATGTGTAAGGTGGTCCCATGTGTTGTAGGGGTTTAGTGTTCCTGTCCACTGGCCCCTTCGCCACAGTCCACTAAGACCCCCAGTATCTATGACAACAGCACCCGGCCACATCCCCGGACACTCCCTGGTGAGGCCGCATCTCCCCCCGTGGAGAACTCCTGAACAGACAGCTGTCCGGGACCGGCCAGAAATGCCTCCTTTGCTGGGAGGCGGTGTCCGGCTCCCTCCAACCCAGGGGCGACCTCCAACCGGAATAGTGGAAGGGCCGTGCCGCCTGGCCCCATGTGGGTTTTTTATGATCATTAATGCCATGGGGCACATTGATTTCTATTCAGTGTCTGGCAGGCTGGAGGGTGCCTCCAGCACCTGGGTGATCGTTTAATCAAATAAATGTGACTTCTCTGGGAGGAGAGTGTCGTAGGAACAATTTGCTTCCTTTACTTGGAGGATCAGTCAGTGCATGATCAAAGAGGTAGCAGCCGATACAGCGTGTAGGAGAACACCCAGTGTGACAGGGTGGTGGCACAAAGGCGATTAAAAATATATCAAACCTGAGTTGCCATAACATTTGGGGGAGGTGCTGTCACCAAGAGGGAGCTGGCTTGGTGACGGGGAATCAGAAGGTGGAGCCAAAGAGAAACGCCTCCAGGTGGACACACAGGTGGAGGGGGAGCGCACCTTTTCTGTAGCGCCAGCCACCTGCCAGGCGCCTTGCTCCCGTTATCATTTCATTCAGCAGGAGTTCACCGAGTTCCTTCTCAGTGCCCAGCATCACCACCGGTGTGAGGAGCGCTGTGGTGAGGGAGATGCAGACTGTGTCAGTGCTCCTTACTGGCAGGTACAGAAGTGCAGGGCGAGGGGACTCTACCCAGCAAGGAAACTTGCTTATGGAGTAAAAACTGCTGGATGTTATCTGGCTTCAGGCATAGTTGGATCCAGGCACTCAGATTATGTCACCAAAATCAGTCACTGTCCATCTCTTAGATCCGTCTTCCCGTGTTGGAAGTCATCTCAGGCAGGTGCTTCCCTCACGGGGGCCAAGGCAGCTCCTGGAACCCCCACATTTATATCCTACCTGGAGGGGAGGGGATACTCCTTTCCTAATGGTTCCAGCAGAAGTGCTGGTAAGGGCTCCCATTGGTCAGGCTGGGGCCCCATTTCATTCCTGAGCTAATCACCCCCTTTGTCCAGTCAGGTGGCATGGTCTGAAGGGCCACTTGTTGGCCACCCATTAGGCTAGGGGTGGAATGAGTCTCACCCAAACCAGGCAAAGTAAGGACTGGGTTAAGTAGGGAACTACGTGGAGGAAGTAGGGAATCTATAGGGCTGCGATTGGAAGATTGGGGGCAGGTGCTGGGCAGGCAGAAAGAACGGGTGTCCACCACACAGCCCTTGCCCTGGAGGAACTCCCCAGGCTTTGACAAGTGGGCACCAGGCCACCTATAAGGGTGCAGAAGGAGCAGACAGTGACCACAGGGTCACTGGGGAAGTTGGGAGATGTGGCGTGCCAGTTTGCTCTGCACGGACTCGTCCAGAGGATGCCTGGTGGTTCTGAAAGATGGACTCATGCTCAGCAGGACTCACGAGAGTGAACAGAGTGATCACAGCACTGAGATATGGGGAGGGAGTGAAGAGCCAACGGCCAAGGGGCTGCAACACTCACCTCTCAACTGTGGAGGGCGGGCCAGACGCAGAAATCCAGCAGTTGTATAATTTGCTTTTTGGAAAATGTCTTTGAGGGAGACTTACAGGAAAACATACTCATATGAGAGGCAAACCTACTGCCTCAAGAGGAAATTCAGGCAAAAAGAAGGAAGGGGAGAACCAGCACCCAGTGGTGGCCTCCATGGGCTGGTCTCTGAGTGGGAGCCTCAGCCTGGTCTCCGTTCCATTCCCGCGGTGACCGGAGAGGTGCAGGCATTCTGGTCTCATTTTACAGAAGAGAAACCTGGGGACCCGCCCCAGGCCATGCACGCTGGGGAAATGGCGAAGCCTCCCGGCGGGGAGGTTCGTCCTCCACACGAGCCACCTCCACCCACACGGACCGGGGTGGTGACACCCCAGAGAGTCAACGCCAGAGCCCCTGGGCCACCCAGGTTCTGGAAGGAGTGGCAGGGTGTTGGCACCATTGCTCTCTGCTCCCCCATGCTTCAAGCTGGACTCCAGTGCCAGCACCTCCAGACACCCCCAGCTGGGGGGGAGTCACTGCTCCTTCCCCGAACCCTCCTTGCTCAGGGCACCTGTGGTGATACTTGGTAAGGGGACAGGAAAGACCAGAATGGTGTCTGGGAGACAGGCCTGGAGCTTTGCTGACCGGAAGTTAGATGTTGGCTGCTTCCTTGGCTCCCGGGCCTTGGGCATGCTTTCCCACAAAACAGGCCAGTGGTAGGACTTGAGTCGTGGGGCCAGGAAGGGTTCAGCGAGACAAGGTACTTGAGGGTCCCTCATAAGTCCACCACCCAAGCTTGATTTCTTCATCATCATCCTCATCATTTACTGTCAAACACGGCTTCTCCCTGAGTTGACATCCAGATAGCCCTAGAATGCCTGGCCCGTAGAGAACCCTCAGTCGACCTTTGGGAGACCGAGGTCCGGAGGAGCCATGTGGCTGGTCCACAGCCACAGAGCGACCTCCGGGCTTAGAGACGGGGGTGTTCAGTCTTGAACCCAGCCACAGTCGGGCTCGTGAGCAAAGCACTGCCTGCGCTTCGAGCTCGGCCGAGCCCTCTCACACCTGGGCCCTGCTTGTGCTCCAACCATCTAGCCACAGCCTGTCATGTTCTCTGTCACTCCCTCATGACAGTCTGGGTGCTAATTCCTGGTGTCTCCACTTCCTCTTCTGTCCAAAAAAGCTCTCTGGACAAATGAGGTCAATATGGGCTAAAATAGAAATGACGACGCCTCTGTGCATTAGGTACATGGTGGCTGAGTCAGGACGTGCTCCTGCACCTTCTCTCCTCACTAGACCTGGAGTTACTAGGGGCCACTTGTCCCAGAAACAGGTCTCAAGAGTGTCCCTCACTGTTCTTCACACTCAGCGTGGACCTCCATGCCCAGGGGCTCAGGTTCTGAGGGTGGGGAGGGAGGAAGGAGGGACTCACACTCTACTGTGCTGTGCAGGGAGGCCCGTGCTGCAGACGGACCAAGCCCGTGAGACAGCAGCGCGGACAGGCAGCAGGGGCAGCAGCTCTGTCTTCATCTGCAGTAGGGCAGGGCCTCAGTCTAGTGTTTCTGAATCCCCTTCACCTAGGGCCGCTTTTTATGCAAAGCAGGCTATCAGTTTTTTTAAAAAAACCACTTTCCTTTGATGCCACCTGAATGTTACTGAACTACTCAGCTGCGGCAGAGAGTTCCTTTAGCGATTCCTTTCACAGTTTGAATAATTATCTCCTCATTTATCAGCTTCATCAATCCTCATTTTCATAAATTATCCTGCTTAAAAGGAGGCCCACATGGGGCACCAGCCCCAGATTCTGGGGACTTGGGTGCCACTATAACCATTAAGGCAGTGCCAGGAGACAGGGCAGGCTCCAGAGGAAAGCTGAGGCAGGCGCTCTCTGCCAGGTGGTCAGATTCTGAGCCCTCCTCCCATGTTGGGGCCTCGTAGGGCCTGGGCTCCCGTAGGGCCTGGGCTCCCTGTGGGCGGTCCTCTGCTTCTCTCTCTGAGACTGCTCTGTCCCTGGAGGGAGCCCTGTGGCTGTTCACTCCAGCCAGAGCGGCCAGTGCTGTGTTTGGGAATTGTCTCCTAGTTACTTGTGTTTTCCTTCTGTTTTGTGCTGTTGCCCCACAGTCAGGCCCCTCCCAGGCTTCGGAAGTTGGCAAGAGATAAACAGTCTGTAATAAACATTCCTACCACTGTCTTTGAAAAGATGGATGTAGCGACTGCTCAAGAAACATTTAAAAACAAAGAAATCACCCATAATGCCACCACCCTACCTTAACAACGGATTGAATTTTTACATTTATCACCTCCCATTCGGGGTCCACAAACACACTTTTTTCCAACTTAGCACTTACCGCATGTGTATTGTTTTTATTCTGCCATTTTCACTCCCCCCTGCCTGCCCCCCCCCCCCCCCCCCACTAAACAGATCCTAAGCAACATCCCAGGTTTCAGCAGATTCTTTATAATTGTAGTGGCTGCGTGAGAGCCTGGCTTCTCCTTTCTGCTGTTGGACGTGTGGGTTGCTTTCAGGGTTTTGTTATGACTGATTAGGAACAATTTGCCGGAATGTGCTTAGGGCAAAGACCAAGCAAGTGACATTTTCTATATTTTTATTTTACTTCTGAGAAGTTTCTGTGAGTTACCAGCAGTATCTAAGTTTGCCAGTTTCAATATCATCTCAGTAGCTTTAGAAGTTGTCTTCATTGTGGTGAAGATTCTGCAGCCAAATTGCTCAAGTTTCCATCGTAGTCCTGCCACTAGACGAGCTGTGTGACCTTGGGCTAGTTACTTAACCTCTCTGTGCCTCAGTCTGCTTATCTATTAAATGGAGATAATAAATGCAGTTACCCCATAGATGGTTGTGGTGATTAATGGCAATCCTCGTTACTCACATTATTTCATATTTGTGAATTCATCTGCCAAGTAAAATGTATCTGTAACTCCAAAACTGATACCTGCGTGCTTTCGCAGTCATTCTCCGTTGTCTGCACGTTCTGAGCTGAGGTGTAGAAAGCGACACTGCCTTCGTGTGTCAGCTCTCACCCGGGAACCAGGACCCTCTTTGTGCTGTGCTTAGGGCCGTGTTTTCCACATCCTCGTGCTTTTTGTTGGTGATCCTGCTGTTTAAATGGGCCACAGGCATAGCGCTGAAGTGCTCTCTAGTGTTGCTAAGTGCGAGAAGGCTGTGGTGTTTCTTACAGGGAAAATGCACGGCTTAGGCGAGCTTCCTTCAGGAGCGAGTTGGAGTGCTGCTGGCCATGAGTTCAGTGCAAATGAATCAACTCTACTAAACGAGGGCTTTCTACAGAAACACACATGGAGCAAGGTTATGTTTCAGTCAGTTGGGGACAACGTTGTAACCAGAGGCTCGCAGGAACCAAATCCTGTATTTTCCCCTAGGAGCTGTGGTTCACTGATCACTAATTCGGTGTTTGCAGTAACTTTACAGAATGTAACCACCAAGAATAGTGTAACTTGAGTGCTGATAGGAAGTGTTTGGGACAGAGTTGGGCATGTGCTGTGTACCTCGTATGTCACAGGTGGCAACCACAGGCCCGGGGGCCGGTCGGGCCTGGCCCCTGTTTCTACCTGGAGGCAGCACCGAGCTCTTGCCTAACTGCTGAGGAGTAGTTATATTTACGCAGTCCTGAAGTTATATTCAGCCCTTTGAAGGCCGTGCCAGGCTGATGTGGCCCTGGCGAAAATGAGTTTGACAGCCCCGTTCTCCGTGATTTCTGTCATTTTCTAAAGTGCACACTTTGCCAGTGCGGCAGGAGTCGATCACTGAGGACGGAGGACGCACGCCCGTCGCCGTGCTGGACGTCTGTGTTTCATCCTGTGTGTCAGTCAGTCTAGCTGTGGGGGTGCACACAGGCGTCAGAGGGGAGCAGCTCTGGCGGGCGGAAGAGGACACTACACGCCGTTTGTGGCAATGCACGGGTGGGGAGGGGGCCGAGCCCGAGGGTCAGGCGGGCTTTCGGGGAAGCGGAGCTGGACGCCCGGCCGTGCTCCGGCCCAGACCATTTAGCGTAAGGGTGAGATAATCACATCATTAATCTTAACAGAACCTGCACTGATATATTTTTAACTGCATTTGAATAAGAAATGATGACAGTCGAGCTAACAGGGTGAGTGAGAGCCCTTTTCGCACTGAAGCAAAAACTCAGTCTGCCGGCCTACTGGGGGGTGTGCCAGATTTGCTGGCATGCTACGTGAAATCTCTCTCACAAAGGCTCGGCCCCCAAACCATTTTGCTTCCACACTGAACCAAGTGCCACCACCCACAGCACTGGAGATGCACGGCTTCGGAACCGTGCCGGCTTTCCATCTCTGCCGCTGCGGGGCCGGCGTGTGCGCCTTCGTGCTTTGCTAATGTGTGACTGAGTCTCAGAATTAAATCAGAAGCAGCCCTCCAGGACTTGAAGCAGCCTTCCCCTCGCTGCTGCCCTCCATGTGTGACAGGCTTCTTAGGGGCTGTGGACACACAGCTGGTGGCACCACCCAGAGCAGCAGTTCCATCCCCGTGTGGGGGTGGGCAGTGGCCTGGCTCATATGATGAAGGTCAGGTGGTCACTTGTCTTCCAGAATATTGAAGCATCTGCAAACCAAGGACCCCGTGCAGTTGAGACTGGAGCACTTGGAGCAGGGCTTCTCTGTCTACGTCAACGGGGCCAATTCCGAAGTGAAGACATTGCCGCGGAAAGCTGTCCACTCCGACTTCTCCAGAAGCGCCTCGCAGCCCGAGGGGACACAGGGTGAGCGCAGGTCCTTCCTGGCTACGCGGCAGCTTAGTTAACTGAGTAGAACCACAGAGCTGCATCCTGTGCACGTACACTCATCAGCAAACAGTGAGGTAACCTCTGCAGGTTCACAATACCTGCTTGGCTGGAAAGAGAGAGAGCACATGTGAGTGAGGGAAATCCTTTTTTAAATCTTTTAAAACTAGTCTTGGCCTCTTCTGCACCAGGGCAAAGGTCAGAGCAGTGAATTCCTGGCTTTTACATTTCCTGGGTCTCGGGTGCCTTCATGTGAGGAAATGCTGGGATAATTTTGATGATGCCCGATTGTCAGCACCTAATCACTGTTTGGACTCCACTGTTCACTTCTGACTTTTGTTACTCCGTATTCTGCACACTTTAAATGGTTTTCAATGTGTCCTATAACAAAAGCCCAGAAAGTCCGCGAAGTCGAGGAGAAAGTGCCCACGCCATCTGCAGGCCCAACGTAGTTGCCCAAACGAGTTGGTGGTGGAGCGAGTGAAGCAGCAGAGCACGTGGGGGCGGGGCCCAGCTGGCCGAGCTGCTTTGGGGAGGCCCTGCTGTCCCTCTGTGCCTTTGTTTCTTCATTTTTAAAATGCTACTAGAAGGCGCCTGTCCTTAGGGTGCCAGAGTGCCCTTCAGAGCAAGCGGCTTTGCCTAAATGACCAGTGTGCTCTGAGTTATAGCAAGATGAGTTGGAATGAGGCAATGCTGTGATTGAACCCTGTTTTGCCACTTTCTAGCTCTGAGACCCCTGGCAAATGGGTCGTCTGTCTCTGACCCTCAGTTTCCTCTTCTGTAAAATGGGAATCATTATGCCCACCTTGCAGGCTTACCAGGAAGATTAAATGGCATAAGAAATGTAAAGTTTCCAGCACACAATAATCTTAATTTGTATCCTTACCACAGGTATGGTAAAGTCCCAAGCCATTAATTGGCACTGAAAGTCAAAACAACAGGGTGATAAAAGGAGAAAGTAATGGTCCCAAACCTTCCCCAGGAGAGTCACGTGGTTCAGCTGGGAGTTTAGCAGGAGCTTCCTAGCCCCCAGGGCAAAGAGGAAAAGCAGACCGAGCTCCTAGCTTTCCTGCTGGCGGACCCCTTGACCTGCTGCCAGGCAGGAGAAGCAGGCCTTTCTGAGCCCGGATTTCAGGGAGGGACAAACAGTAGGAGTCTCTGCACCTGGGCCACCAGCAGGAGAGTCGCTTATTCCACACAAATCTGCCCCCTCTATCTTCTGTTACACAAATGCTGGCCTGTGGTACACATCGTCCTGTCCCTTGGAGATTGTTCTTCTTGTATGTCGTCGACCCGCTCCATTTGGCTGTACGTTGTTACAGATATCACTATCATTCCAGTTTTGCTGGGCACGTAGCTTGTTTTCTAACGCGTTGTTGCTACAAATGATGCTGCAGTCAGTAACTTCCCACACGGAATTGTGGATGTACTGATATGTATTTAAATGTGAGTTACGAAACTGCCAGCACTGAGAGCTTGTCATCAGTGCCTCACCAAGTCCCCCCCCTTGTCTCTGGTGCAGATGGTGGACGAAGAACTCTGTTTCGAGACGCCGAAGAAGCTTTAAGGCGCAATTCACGCACAGCCCCCAGCAAAGTCCAGCGCCGCGGATGGCACCAGGTCTGGAAACTCGGGCAGAGTCAAGACCGTGGCCCCGTCTCACACTGTAGAATGAGGAGTGGGGTTATTGCGGGGACAGAAACGTAGTCAGGGCGTCTGGGATTTGCGTGGGCAGCGGTGGGTGTGGCGGGGCACTGCCACGGCGTCCGCTCTGCGTGTGGCTCCGGCCTCTGGGGGACGGAGGAGCCCGTGGGGTCCTCCAGCCTCTCTCCACGTGATCGTCTCTTCTGGAGTGTCACAGGTCAGACTTACAGCCCTTTCATGGTGATGCATTCATGATTCATGTAGCTGGGTTTTTTTAAAAATATTTTATTTATTTATCTTTAGAGGGGAAAGGAAAGAGAGGGAGAGAAACATCAATGTATGGTTGCCTCTCGTGCGTGCCCAGCTGGGAACTGGCCTGCAACCCAGGCATGTGCCCTGACTGGGAATCAAACCGTGATCCTTTGGTTCTCAGGCCCGCGCTCAATCCACTGAGCTATGCCAGCCAGGGCCATGTAGCTGTATTTTATTGAGTACTTACTATGTGCCAGGCACGGTCTTAGATGCCAGGGATGTGGTGGGTGAAGAAGACAGCACCTGCCCCACAGACCTGAGATGTGACTTTGGTTGCTGCTGAGGCTGGTGCAGCCGGCATCTTGCATTTTTGAGCCCCATTTTTGAGCCCCTACTGGGTGCCAGGCATGGGTTCAGCTCCTGTGTGCCCCCTTCCCTTTGTCCTTACAGCAGACCTACAGGGTAACTTCCAGTGTCCTTCCTCTTTTAAAGGAGCTGAGGAGACAAATGCTCCCAAGGTCAACTGCCAAGAAGTGGCAGAAGCAAGACCCAAACCCAGATCTTTGGCCCCAAGCTCAGTATTCTTAAGCATATAGTCCGTACACCTCACCTGGGAGTTACTTGCATCTCACCAGGGACCTGTGCGTCACAACCGCCCCCACCCCCCATGTCCAAATTGGCTCCAAATTGTCTGGAAGGTTTTTAAAATACTGATGCTCAGGCTCCACCCCCCGAGATTCTGACTCATTTGGTCTGAGGTGAGGCTTAAGCGGTGGTGTACATACTCTTTCATCCTCTGCTCGCCAAGGTGGGAGAGAGCTGCTTATAACATTTTGCACCGCACTATATGTATGGGTCTCCAGGTAAATACTTACAGATACTTGATTGGACCAACTTTGTAAGAATGCTGTAGGTCCGTAAATATCTTCATTGTGCCACTGAAGAAATTGAGGCCCAGAGAGGTAAGGTGACTTGCTGAGTCACACAGCTACCAAGGGAGAAGGGTAGGCTGAGGTTTCATCCTGTGACTCCAAATCCAGTGGCCCTGCACGTCTCCGCAGAGACACTTGTGGGTGTCTGATTGAATGGGGAAGGGTGCTCCTGCCAGCTAGCGCCAGTGCCAGCGAGCAAGGCCTGGGTGGCTCAGAGCCTGGAGGCCTCCTTTGTCCCCAGCAATGAATGTTAATTTCTCATTAACGAGGCCATTCTCCACTTCTCCCTTCAGACCATCCTTTGAGCTGTTCTGAGTGCCTTCTGTTTTCTGGAGCCATACTTGCTTCTTAGCCTGCAATATAATGGCTGCCCCAGAATCTGTGCAATTTAAGACTTGGCCCAAGATTGATTAACATCCGTCCCCAGTCTCTCCCTGTGGTCCCAGACATCACAAGGCCTAATCACGGCAAATTTCCTGGCTTCCTGATGCCATGAATGCTGTGATTGTCCCTCTGCACCATACCAGTCAGCGGCCAGCCAGCGCCTAACAGTGGACACCACTCAGGCCATTTTCATCCTGGATGAATGTAATGCAGGGAATCTGGTGCTTACCCAGTCCTCGGGCTGGCAGGGGTGGGCCCTGAGCCGCACCTCCAGGGGTGGCTCCAGCATCTTAGCAGGGGGCTGCCAGGGAAGCTGCTGCCTGGGACACAGGGGAGGTGGGGGGTCGGCATCAGGAATGAAGAAGCAACTGCCGCACGGTTGGCCTCAGAGGGACACTGCTTGCTCGGGCAGCTCTGTGATGAAAGACCCTGTCTAGCCACAGCGGGACGTTGCTGAAAAACCCGTTCCCTCCACCTCTGCTGAGCACAGAAGCAGCCTCCAGCTCACTCTGCTCCCCCCGCCTCTCGCGAGGCTGTCTGGTGGCCTTGCCTAAGTCACATCCAGAGCCCCAGCTGAAAGGGAGTCTGGGGAAGGGTGGCATCCGGTTTTCTGGCCTCTGCTGAACAGGAAGGCGTCTTAGGAGGATAGTGGAATGGCTACCGGGGGTCATCTGACCCCCTACCATTTCCAACCAGATCAACTGCCCCACCCTTATGCAGTCCTCTGGGCACAGCCCTCAGGGATCTTGATGAACTGGGGAGGCTTCAGCGGTGATGAGTGGACCAAAAGCCGAGTCATGAAGGAAATCATCCATTAATTGAGCAAACATTTATTGCCATGGGCCAGGTCCTAGGCGAGGCTCTGGGGTTAAAAACAAACATTCAGCCCTGGCTGGTGTAGCTCAGTGGATTGAGCGTGGACTGTGAACCAAACAGGCACTGGTTCGATTCCCAGTCAGGGCACATGCCTGGGTTGTGGCCTGGTCCCCAGTGGGGGCATGGGAGAGGCAACCACACATTGATCTTTCTCTTCCTCCCTTTCTCCTTCTTTTCCCCTCTCTCTAAAAATAAAAAGAAGAAGTAAAGTATTAATAAAAGAAGACATTCGGATAAGCCTCCCTTCCTGCCCTGGAGCCGCCCCCCCCCCCCCCCCGCCCGTGGGGGTGCGGGAACCGCCAACCCGGAAGCCGTGACAGCGGTTTGCGCACGCGCAGAGCACCTGGGGGATCCGGAGTGAACAAGCCTGAGGCCCAAACTTGCCCCCAGATAATGTTTTTCCAACTCACGCAGTTTAAAAAGACTTAGTCACTTGCTAACATTTAAATTCAATGAATTTTATATACTTTTTAAGAAGCTCTGTTTCTGCTTCTCTAGAAAAATGGAAAGATCTGGCCCCCTTGGGCTGGGCTGCCCTCCCATCAGGCAGCCACTAGAGGGAGCCCAGGAGCAGTCTCCCAGGTTAGGGCGCAGGCCCACCTGTTTGCTGCCGTCCCCACCACTCTTGTGTGTCCCATAACTGAGGCCCAGTGGCACTTGCAGTTTGTTACTGCTCTGCTATTTGTCATACACCTTTCCATTTCCCATCTGGCTCTTTGGGACATTTCAGCCTGTGATGTCCCACTGGGAATAGAAGGGAAAGGGCTTTGTTGTCAGACAAACTCCTTACTAGCTGTGTGCCCTGGAGCTGCACTGTGACCTCTCCGAGCTTTGGGATTATCATCAATAACACCTTCCAGGGTTTCTGGGAAGGATGTGTTCACAGGGTATCATGGGTGGGCCATCAGCACGGGCCATCTGCTGGTGCTTCAGGTAGGACCGTGTGGCAGCAGCTGACAGACAAGTCCAGAGAAGTGGTCAAGAGCACAGACTCGGGCAAGATGTCCAGGTTTAAAGCCTCAGCTGGATTATTTACTAGTTGTATGGTCCTAGACGAGCTGCTAAGCCCCTCGGTGCCCATTTTTTCAAGTGATAATGGTGTCTGTCTCGTAGGGTAGGTAATGAGGATTGAACGAGCCGGTGTTTGACCAGGGTTTCAGGCAGCACCCACAGCGCAGAGGGAGCCATCGGTAAACACACAGCTGTGTAACCGGTGCAGGAGCAGATGCCGAGGGCGGTCTGCCTGCAGGCACCAGGGCCCTTTACTCTTCACCCATTGAATCCTCCATTCGTCCTGTGGCCGCGTACAGAGCAACTACTGAAGTCTGGGCATGTGCGTGCTCTGGTCAGCGCAGTGAGTGGAGCAGGCCAGGCCTGCTCTCTGGGAGCTTACGTTTGCAGGGCATGACTGGACCGGCCAAGGACCAAAAACAAGCAAAGAAACAAATGCCGTGGAGGACAGGAAAGAGTAGAATGAGATGGACAGTGTCTGTGGGAAGAGTTGCTCTAGAGGGGGTGGGCCACAGGCTTCCCCAGGGGCTGCATCTGGGCTGACCTCTGAGATGAGATGGAGCCACTCCAGGGAGGCCTGGAGGGAGAGCCGCCCAGCGCAGGGAACGGTGAGGGCGTGGGGAGTAGAGTCGGGCTGGACCGTGCTCAGAGGCGGACGGGGTGGGTGCGAGGGTTGGGGCTCCCAGGTGGAGGGACCGGATCACACTGTGCCTGGGAGAGACCGAGAAGGAGTTTGGATTTTATTTTTAATGTGAGGAGCTCCATGGAGGACTTTCGATAGGAGAGTGATATGTTTGGGCTCATGTTTTAGAAAAATCTGCAGCTGCTGGGTGTAGAAGGGCCGCTGATAGGGCCAGGTGGCTGTGGAGGACCGGGCGGGAAGGTTTGAAACGGGGCTTCCTGTGAACCCAGTTCAGCCTTTTCTCTTCTCTACCAGTCTTCTCCAGTCTCCACCTTGCACCCCGGTTCCTTACCCCCAGCTTTCACTATCACTGCATCTTTCCTGACCCATCAGGCTTTCTCTATGTCAGTTTTTCATTCCCTCAGTACTTGTCTGTTGTCATTTTCCAAGGGAGAGACCATCTGATTCTCTTAGCCCATCTCTGTTACTCGGGTCACGCCTGGACTCCGGGTTGGCCTGGGCAGGACGCCACTGCTGCCCGGGCCAGCCGGGACTGGGGGTGGGGGCCAGCTCTGGCGATCCAAGGCCTGCCTGGTCCGGCCTGGAGCTGTTCGCCGAGTGGGAACGGGCCCCCTCGCCTCCATCAAGGAGGCTGCACACAGATGGTAGATGGACCCCATGTGCCAACTGCACTGTTACTGTCCTGAAGAAGAGGGAGTGGATTGCAGCTTCCTTTGGCTACAAGTGGTCGAGTTAAGAAGCAAGTTTCTCCATGAGTAAAAGCCCTTGGGGACGGGTTATGGGTGTGTGTAGGATAGAGATGAAGGCAGTCTCTCCACCCTTTAGAATGGGCTCCGCCGTCCTAGGAGGCAGCCAGCGCTAGGCAGGGTTGTCAAGGTAGCAAAGTCTCCACTGGCCAGTTCTCTGAAGCTGCCCCATCAGGAGAGGGGTCACAGCCCTGCCCCGTCCTTTGGTGACTCCTGTGCCCAGCAGGAGGGACAGGTGGGGCCAGTCAACTCGTGTATTTACACTGGCCAGGTCGGCCGGGGCATAGTGGTCACAGTGCACAGGGAGCCCTGCGGTCCGTCCACTCCGCTGCCCCGTCTCCCCTCTGCCCCCCGTTGCATCCCTGTGCTCTCCAACCTGAGCTCTTGCCATCTTTTCTCAGCGTCTCCCCCAAACTCTCTCGAGTCACACAGCCCCTTCCCACTGACCAAGCCCAGTCCCTTTGCCTCTTCCAGTGCAGTAGATTTTCCTTCTTAGGGTCTTGCCCAGCAACTAGGAAGCCCTTTGGGTAGAGCTACCCTTGATGGAAGGGGTGGCCTCAGGCTCATGGGCCTCAGGATCCGGGAGTTACAAAATCACAGTGTCAGCTAAACACTGGCTGACCAGCGGCACCTGTGAAACTCTTCTCGGAACTCTGCAGTTCTGGGGGATCGGGGGAGGTGAATGGTGTTGCTTTTTTGGCCTTCTACGCTGCCACCTGCACTGTGGAATGTCTTGTAGTGATAAATGGGCTCTGGTTGGTACTGTCCTCCCTGCCCCCCACCCTGCCATGTCTTGGCCTTAGATCTTTCTGCTGTTATCCTTGGATTAAGATTTATGGCTTCCTTGGCCTTGTAATACGGGGGTGGACAGCAGCCTAATCAACAGAGCCGTCGTTTACCAAAAGCTGTCAGATTTGATGAAAGTCATCAGCTCTTAGCGTTAAATTGGTAGTGAAGGGACTGGCCTTCCAGCAATTTACTGTGGGGTGGGCTTCCCTTAAAGGCCTGAGAAGCAAGTTCATTACAATTATTACAGCAAAGGCTTTGCTCTGGCTCCACTGTTGTATCCTGTTTCCTGTGGTGGGCCAGGCAGCTTAAGCCCCCCGCCGGGAAAGCTCACGAGTGAACATGTGAAGCATGGGGCTCCCTTCCCTTTGTTTTCCTCCTTCTGAGTTTTGCAAACCCCCGAAGTGAGGACAATAAATGGAACAACCCATGAAGCTTCGGCCTTTACGGTGACCTTGCATGATCCAGAGTGTCGAGCACTATTATTTGTGAGGGATCAGACAAATCCGGGAAGAACAAATCAAATGAGGCAGATTTACTCCCACCCCAAACCTGCCTTTGTCTGTCTTTAGAACTCTCCTACCTCTAGAGGGAGCCATTTCCGTGTTGTACAACCTGCGCAGCCCGGCAGGGCAGCCCCAGCCCGGATCTTTTTCTCCCTCTAGTTGACAGTAAGCTTTCACACGGACCTCTTAGAACAATCCGCTCAGAGAAGGGCAGCAGATACACACAGATACTCTGAGCAGGACGCTGGCCTGGGTGTGGCTGAGTGTGAAAGAAGCTGGCCTTGGGCTGGCAAACTGAAACAGGGGCGTTTGGATGTCGGGGCTTTTAAATTCTGCCCTCTACGGTTGATACTGCAGAGGTCTACCCAAGTCTGGTACTGCAAGTAGGCGGGAGAGAGCAGCTGCTTAGAAACACCCACTCGGGTAGAGCAGCACGCCAGGCGGGGAGCCAGCCAGGAGCTTGGGCATCATCCTTGCGAGGGCGTGAGGGTGGGAGGCAGCGAGCTGGCGTGCCCGGGGGCTGGGCTGGAACCTGCCGGGGCGCTCTCCGCGGGGAGGTGGGCGTCGTTGTGTGGGCAGGGCTGCTCCTCCTCCTTCTCCCAGCCGTGGTAGAGGCGCCTACCTGGAGCTGCGGCGGAGGAGCTGCCAGATGGGGGACAGCTTAGTCCCCTCTCTGGTACCCACTCAGCATTTAGAAACTCTTTCTGGGTCATATTAATTTTGTCACATGTTGCTTCACAAACACCTTCTTCCACTATGTGTGCTGTGTGAACTCTTTGACAGGCCAGGGCATTGGTTTAAAATTTTCTTTTATATCTTGACATGTATGCAGTCAGTACTCAGTGAGGACTTGCTGATTAAGTGCCTTCATGCCCACTGCAAACCCATCTCCTGACGTCTTGGTAAGGTGAGCAGGTGTGCTGAGCTCCTGGGAAGGGAGAAGGGGAAGCTGCAGAAGAGAGAGTGGCACATGAGTGCTCCTCCTTGAATGCTGGAGCTCTTTCTCATGTTTGTCATTCAGATCAGACCGACAGAGTGGCATGAATTCCAACTCTCTTACTTGCCAGCGACTTTCCCCGTTCAGGCATGGCTGGGTCCAGGTGTCCAGACAGCATAGCAGGCTTTTCCCATCTTCCAACTCTGCTTTTCCTCATGTTTCTCTGTGTGGTCAGAGAAACAAGATGGCCAGCAGCAGCTCCCAGATTACATCCCGTCTCCTGCTCTTCCATGACTCGGACTCCCTTGAACAAGTTACCCTTTCACTGTGGGCCAGAGGGGTCTGATACTCAGATCGGCCATCCTGGGTCACGTGCTCCACCCAGCCCTGGTCTCTGTTTCACGTGAACACTTGGATTAGGGTTGGGAAGGGAGGATTTACCAAAAGGAAATGACGGTGCTTTTTTTTTTATCCTCACCTGAGGACATGCTTATTGAATTTATTTTTTAAGTATATTTTATTGATTATCCTTTTACAGTTGTCCTATTCTTTTTTTCTCCCCTTTATTCCCCTCTACCCTGTACCCCACCTCCCTCCAGCATTCCTCTTCCTTAGTTCATGTCCATGGGTTGTACCTGTAAGTTCTTTGGCTTCTCTATTTCCTATGCTATTTTCTTCACCTCCCCCTGTCTATTTTATAGCTACCAATTATGCTTCTTATTTCCTTTACATTTCCCCCATTCTCCCCTTCCCCATCCTCACTAATTATCTTCCATGTGATCTCCATTTCTGTGATTATGTTCCTGTTCTAGTTGTTTGCTTAGTTTGTTTTTGTTTTTAGTTTTTTTAAGTTCAATTGTTGATAGTTGTGAGTTTGTTGTCATTTTACTCTTCATAGTTTTGCTCTTTTTTTTTCTTAGATAAGTCCCTTTAACATTTCATATAATAAGGGCTTGGTGATGATGAACTCCTTTAAACTTGACCTTATCTGGGAAGCATTTTATCTGCCCTTCCATTCTAACTGCTAGCTTTGCTGGACCTACACCCAAGAGCAATCTTGGGTGTAGGTCCTTGCCTTTCATGACTTGGAATACTTCTTTCCAGCCCCTTCTTTCCTGTGAGGTCTCTTTTGAGAAATCAGCTGATAGTCTTATGGGAATTCCTTTGTAGGTAACTGTCTCCTTATTTCATGCTGCTTTTAAGATTCTCCTCTTGTCTTTAATCTTGGCTATTGTAATGATGATCTCCTTTGGTGTGTTCCTTCTTGGGTCCACCTTCTTTGGGACTCTCTGAGCTTCCTGGATTTCCTGGAAGTCTATTTCCTTTGCCAGATTGGGGAAGTTCTCCATTATTTTTTAAAATAAGTTTTCCATTTCTCACTCTTCCTCGTCTCCTTCTGGCACCCCTATGATTCAGATGTTGGAATATTTAAAGTTGTCCCAGAGGTTCCTAAGCCTGTCCTCATTTTTTCTGAATTCTGGTTTCTTCATTCTGTTTCGGTTGAATGTTTATTTTTTCCTTTTGTTCTAAATCATTGATTTCACTCCCAGTTTCCTTCCTTTCACTGATGGTTCTCTGTATATTTTGCTTTATTTCACTTTGTACAGCCTTTACTACTTTCTTTATTTTGTGGCCATACTCATTTTTGTGAGCATCCTGATTACCAGTGTTTTGAACCCTGGATCTGATAGGTTGGCTATTTCCTCGTCACTTAGTCCTTTTTCTGGAGCGTTGATCTGTCCTTTCATTAGGACCACATTTCTTTGTCTTGGTGCACCGATTATGTTGTAAGGGGCAGAGCCTTAGGTGTTTCCCCAGCGTAGGGCAACCCATGTCACTGCGTCGTGGCGCTGTATGTGGGGCAGGGGTCAGAAGGGAACAGTGCCTGTGGCTTGGCTCTCTCGTCCTTTCAAGAGACTGGTGGTTTCTTCCACTGCCACAACCACGCAGATTTTTACAGCCAGAGGTTCCGAGGCCTTATCTTGCCTGAGCTGGAACCCTGGGTTGCACAGCCTGTCTTGCTCTTCAGTTGTTCCTCCCAGTTTTATCTGCACACAAATGCGGGGCTGCCTTGGGGCCAGCTGCTGCCGCGGCCGCCTGGCCCGCCGGGTCAGCCAGCCACTGCCTCGCCTGTGTCCTCTCCGCCCTGGCTGCCTGTCTCCAGTCTGGATGAATGTGTCTTCTTTAACTCCTTGATTGTTGGACTTCCATACAGTTCAATTTTCTGGCAGTTCTGGTTGTTTTTTGTTTTTAAATTGGTGTTTCCTTCTTTTGTTGTGCAAGGAGGCACAGCGTGTCTACCTGTGCCTCCATCTTGGCTAGAACTCCCCGAGTATTGATTTTAGAGAGAGAGGAAGGGAGGGAGAGAGAGGGAGAGAAACAAGGATGCAAGAGAAAAACATGGATTGGTTGCCTCTCACATGCATCCCAATCAGGGACCAAAGTTGCAACCTAGGCACGTGCCCTAACTGGGAATCAAACCTGTGACCTTTCAGTTTATGGGATGACGCTGCAACCAACTGAGCCACACTGGTCAGGGCAGGGTGCTTTTATCAGGAGACAGGGGAACACATGCTGGGCAGAAACAGCAGCACCCACCACAAAGCCACCTGGATGTTATGCTGTTTAAGCTTTTACATGCATAAAAACCACCTAGGGTCCTATTAAAATGCAGATTTCGGCTCCCAGAAATGAGCTGCATTTCTCACAAATCCTCCAGGGGAAGCCTGAGCTGCTGCGGCATGGACGGCGCACGGAGTAGTGAGGCCCTCGCGCAGACCCTCCCTTTCTGGACAGAGCAGCAGCGGTCCGGGGAGGGGCCTGGCCGCGTCCCAGGCCTGGGCCCCTTGCCCAGCGAGGCTCCCCCTGTGCCGCTGCCCACCCCCTTCTCTCTTGTACCGGCTTCAGCATTTGGGCAGCTTTTGAGCGGTTCCTGGGAAGGAGAGGAGCACACCCTCCTTGAAAATAGCGTGAAAAATTCATCTCTGTGGTGAAATTCATAGCTTTTATAGCTTCATCTGGGCCCTAGGCAGTAAAGCCCCCAGGAGTCTCCCGGCCTGGAAGCCCCAGGTTTTCGTGCCCCGTGCAGTGCTTACTCCCTGCGGGTCCCACTGCTGATGTGAACAAATGCTCTGGGAGCGAACCGACGAAAGCCTGGGAGGCAGCGAGGCCACACTTGGAGCCTGAGCCCAAGGCAGTGAGGCTGACGGTCATGAGGAAGGCGGAGGGGAATGTGCGGCTCCAGAAATAGCGGGGCGCGCTGCCAAGTGACGGGATCTCTGGAGGAGGCCAGCGTCCTGTGGCAACTTGCTTCTGTGCCTCCTCCCCCTCCCTGGTCTCTGGCAGGGCGGCTCCCTACCTGCCTTTTTCAGGCCCTTGTACCCTCGCCAAGGTCTTTACCTTGGATGATCTGTAGCTCAGTCCCTGGTTCCTTTTCTGAGTGTTAGATGTTCTCAGGAAATTCTTTAGTTTTCCTCCGTTCCCTCCAAAGGCCTCGGTAGTAGCTCAGGCTGGGCCCACTTATTCTTCAGGTGTCTGCACAGTCAGCTGTGGTCTGAAATAGGAAATGTAAAGTTCCAGAAATAAACAAGTCATGCACTTTAAATACCACACCGTTTTGAGCAGCATGATGACAGCTCACATTGTCCAGCGCCGTCCTCCTCGTGACAGGGACCATCCTGCTGTCCAGTGTCTCTGTGCTGTACACACCGCCTGCCTGCCGGCGTCACAGCGTTCAGGTTCAAGGGGCCCTCATTTCATTTAATGGGTCCACAGTCACGTAGCTTTTATTATAGGACATTGTAATAATTGTTCTACTTTAGCACTAGTTATTGTTGTAAAGCTCCTACTGTGCCTCCTTTGTGAGTTAAACTTTATCACAGGCACGTATGTATAGAAAACACATAGGGCAGGTAGCATTGGGGACTGTGTGCAGTTGCGGGCGTCCACTGGGGTCTTGGGGTTTGTCCCCTGTGGATAAGGAAGCACTAATGTGGAGTGTGGTGGTTTAGAACACGGGTGGTCAGCAAACGGCAGCTCCTGAGCCAAATCTGGCCACAGCCTGTTTTTGCACATAGTGCTTTTCCTTGATCAGGCATTACCGTGTGTCCCTGTTCCCGACCCTGCACTGGTGGTTCACAGCCGTGCCCGTTTGCTCAGGCATCATCCACGGCTGCTATAATGGGACAGTCCAGTGTTGTCGCAGAGACTGCATGGCTGGCAAAGCCCCAGATATTTACTTTTTAAAGGAAGCATTTGCTCAGCACTGGTCTCTGGAGCTGTACTGCTGGGGTTCAAATCCAACCTCTGTGGTCCCCTAGCTGTGCAGCCTTAGGCAAGTAGCTTCTAGGCCCGTGCTCTGGTTTCCCGGGATTACTGTGAGGTTAACTAAAAGGGCAGACAAACGCACCCGAAGCACGTGGCGTGCTGACGGGTTGCACTGAATGAGATGGCACCTGGTGAGAGAGCGCGGACATGGACGGGACGCAGTGCTGTCCGGACTGCCAAGGGTCCCACAGGGCACCGCGGCTCCGGCCTCATGTTCTGCTTTGTCAGGCCGATGGCTGAGTTCATTAACCTTGTGGGGAAGCTGGGTCTTACCTTGCGCATGGTTCTAGCGCTGCCAGGGTCTGAGGGGAAATGCACAGTCTAAACCACTGTCCCTCACCTGGGCAATAGATTCAGGACACCTGGCGTGGTGGACCTCTCTTTGCTCAGTACCAGGACTGCACTAGGGTGAGGCCCGGGGTCGGCATTTAAGGAGACCCTCCCTGTTGGGTTTGCGCACCGGGAGGGAGCATCGCTTTCACCGTTACTCCCTGGGCACCGCGCTGGCCCCTGGCCCTGCCACGCAGTCCAGCCCAGCCCGCTCTGACTCCAGCGTTGGGATGGGTGCCAGTGTATTTGCCTGACTACCAAGTGACACAGGTGGCTTGTTTCTTGGGTCCACAGGGGATGAAATATGAACTTGACGGGAGGGGGAGCAAGTCATCCTCACAGCAGTTCTGACAAAGGTGCCATTAGTGCCACCTTAGTAGATGTAAAAAGAGGTGCTTGGGGGGTCACGCGACTTGCCCAGGGTTGCCTAGGGAATGAGCCTCGGCCTTCCAGGAGTCGAACTGGTCTGCCTGAGCCCACGGCCCAGGCCCTGCACCACACACAGCAACACTGCTATAGCCACAGAAAGATGACAAGCGCTTAATGGGCCGTTAGCAGCCAGGCCTCAGCTCAGCTGCAGGTAACAAACCCTGGTCCCTGGGGCTTGAAGACAGTTGTATATTTCTCACAAAAATTTGGAGGCAGCCAGGGACTCGAGCTCCTTCCGGTTTTCCATGGGGCACCCTTAGGGTGTGGCTCTGTCCCTCATTCCCAGGAGATGGCTGCTCTGCAACCAAACCTCCCATCCCATTCCATTAGGAAGATGGGTAGAAGGATAAAGGGCAAGGTCCTGTGTCACTGCGTGAGGCCTGGTTAGCAGGAAAACAGTGGCTTTCTCAGCAGCTGCATCCACCTGCAGGCTTCCAGCCACTCGCGTCTGGCTCACACGGCCGTCCCGAGCTGCAGGGGTCTCCAGCACGCGGGCATCGTAAAGGGTCGCACAGCCGTTTCAGCGAGTCGGGGTTTTGTTAGTAAGGACGGGAGGGCAGTGGAATGTTACCACTGTCAGGCAGCCTCCCCAGAGTGGGTGGGGTAGGGCACATGGAGAAGATTTGGGAGAGTGGTGTTAAGGTTGGGACACCAACTTGAGTGAAGGTGCAGAAGTGGGAGGGTCAGGATTCTGTCGCAAATAGCATAAATCCTATTTGCACTGGCTTAGCGAGAAGGAAGAGGTTGCAGCAGTGTCTTGTTTCAGTTATGGCTGGACGCAGAGGTCTAAACAAATTCACCAGGATCGGCCCCAGTCTCTCAGCTCCCTGTTGCTGTGTTAGGGGCAGGACAGCGTCCAGCAGCTCCTGGTACACCTGCCCCGCTTCGGCTTAGCACACCTGTTGGAAGGCAGCACCTTCTCCCCACTGCTCTAGCAGGAATCCTAGGGCCGCCCATCCCCGATCCCTGGCCAGGGTGTGTGGCGGGGCTGACCGACCAGGCCCTAAGTCACCTTCTGCCCTTGGGCCTCGCGTGGATTGGGCGGGGGGGGGGGGTGGGATGGGCCTCAAAGGAAAACGACGGAGATGCTCCCTGAAGGACGGGGAATAGATGCTGGGCTAAAAACCTGCGTGCACTTGGGGTACGGAAAGCAGCTCTGTTTGGCTCAGTTGTCAGGGCGGTGACTATATGTGCAGGAGCCGACCTAGGGAAGATAGATGGGGGCCTGGCTGTGGAGAACTTAGCATGCCAGGCGCACCGCTCAGGTTTCAGCTTGGCCACTGAAACGGAGGCCCAAACAGCAGTGGCTGAACAACGTGAAAGTTGATGTGTCTCTGACAGGACCATTCGGTGGCGGGCAGGCATCCTGCTCCGAGAGGTCATGGAGGAACTGACTGCTTTGTTGCCTCACCACCTCCACACGTTGCTTCCTCTCACAGTCCTCTGCAGCTCGCCACCACCTCTACGCTCCACCTGGGCAAGGGGCCGCTGTCCCCTCCCCTTCAGGGGCACAACCTCAAAGATGCACACAACCCTTCCCCCCATACCTCATTGGCCAGATTGTGTTCACGTGGTTCCCCCAGGTGCAGGAGAGGAGGAGGAAGGGACACTGACCCCGGGGGACAGCCTGCAGTCTGCCACACCAGGCCGAGGAGTGGGTTTCCCAAGGAATGAGCCAAGGAATGCTATTCCCCCAAAGTGTGAGGAATGTCACGTGCTGCGTTTTGTTTTAGGACGTCCACAGGTGTATGTGGCAGGTGGGGGAGGGGGCGTATTAAAGGCCCTGAGAAGTCTTGAAGAAAAATCCTAAGCATTTGATCACAAAGCTATGAGAGAAGCTTAACACCTGCTAAAATTCTATGGGTAAGTTATTTCAGGCCAAAAAGTTACTAAAAAATTCTGCAGAGCCCACTTTGGGCAGTTGGAACCAGTAAAGACTTCTGGGCAGAGGTGGTTTGGGCCATCTGGGCTGGCCTGCGTGGGATGATGCTGGGCCAGTGTAGGGATGCAGGACCGCAGCTGTGCACAGGCACACACCCCACTGTCAGCCCTGAGCACGCTCGCCCCCAGAGGGATCAAGATATTTGTTCCACCATGCCTGAAACAGTCTGAATTTCTGTGTACAGAAATCTGTGCAGATCAGAACAGAAGCTGGCTCACGGCTCCACATCAAACCTCCTCTGGACTACTCTGAAGACTTTGAGCCGTGGGAGAGCGTGACTGTGAACGCAAAGGATGCTTCTGGGGGTCATCCGCAGGTAGGAGTGGCTTCCGTTCAGTGCTACAGCCGCTGTCGGGGCACCTTCTGTTATTTATTCCTTTCCTGGGGAAGGAGGGTCCTTTCCCATGGGACTCAATGACCCGGTTTCCTTCCCCATCCGCAGACACGGGATTTTGCAGTGAGCAAAGTTGTGGACTTCGTTGCCTTTAACATCTACCTCCTGCACAACACATACAACACAGCACCAGCATGCACCCACTTGTCTCTGAATAATTCAAACAATCCCGTGCTCAGGATCAGTCGGTGCAAATGGCCATCAGTTCCTCCTTGCCTGGGAGGCTGGCTTATGGCCACTTTCAGTCTGTTACCGTCCCTGCCAGAGCCCATGCACAGAATGCCTACGTGCCCTTGAAGCAGGAGGCATGGTAGTTTCTCCTTCTCCTTTGACCGTTTGGCATCCCCGGTGACATGAGCATGCATTCCTTCCTGTGCAGGCTCCCAAGCTTCCTGAAACTCGGCAGGCAGGCTGTCCCTCACAAGCTATTAAGCCCATTAGCATTCCTGTGTGTGCGTGCTTGGAATCGCCAGTGCCCTGCTCCGCCAGCACTGAATTTTCTCCGCTGTGCGTGCTCGATTGTATTTCTTGCTTTTTCTCCTCTTCTTGAGGCGGCACTCCATAGCCTTCATAGTCAGTTTCCCCATGGAGTTATTTTCCTGTGAAGTGAGAGTAAAATGGCAGTGCCGGTTCTCAGCAGAGGCAGAAGCCATAAGAGATGCAATCTAAACAGGCAGAGGAAAAGAAGTGTGTGGTTAAATATACTCAGCCACCTCACGGTGTTTGCAAATGCTACCTGAAATGGAGCGGAAGGAGAGGCATGTGTGTGTGTGTACTTTTCATCTGACCCTCACTGTTGAACTACACCAGCCCTTCACCTGCAACCAAATCCTCAGTGAACTTCAGTTTCTCTGTGGCTCTGAGGTCACAGACTGGGTTGCTGCCGACGCATTCTGTTGGCCGCACCCTGTTGACTTGCATTGTACTTTCAAAAGATGTGAATTACCTGGCTGGTGTAGCTCAGTGGATTGAGCGCGGGCCTGCGAACCAGACAGTCATGGTTCAATTCCCAGTCAGGGCACATGCCTGGGTTGCAGGCCAGTTCCCAGCAGGGGACGCATAAGCAGCAACCATACATTATTTCTCTTGTGTCTTTCCCTTCCCCTCTAAAGATAAATAAATAAAATCTAAGAAAAAAAAAGATGTAAATTACTAGCTGACATTTAAGAATCAGGAAATATTATGTGAAAGTCTGAAGTCAGGGCTTCTCTTGGGAAATTGGAAGATTTTTTAAAAGATTTTTATTTATTTATCTTTAGAGGGGAAGGGGAGGAGAGAGGGAGAGAAATATCAATATATGGTTGCCTCTCGTGCATCCCCTGCTGGGAACTGGCCTGCAACCCAGGTGTGTGCCCCGACTGGGAATCGAACCTAGATACTTTGGTTCACAGGCCCACGCTCAATCCACTGAGCTACACCAGCCAGGGTGGAAATCACAAGATTTTAGAACCACGTTCTTGCAGACACTAATGACCGAGTTGAGGAGCAGCCTCCCTGTTAGACAGCGTGTGTTCCTGTGTCTGCAGCCCTCACCGCAGGTCCGGGCACCAGTCTTCACCCTGATGGTGAAGCAGACAGTGAACAAGTCCATACCACACCAGGAGGCGGTGGGCGTGTCAGAGAAACAAAGAGGAGGAAGGGGCTGGAGGAAGCTGGGCAGGGCCCGCCAGTTGATGTGGGAAGGCCTTGAGGCAGCCAAGGGGTGAGCCGCAGGGAGAGGCGTGCTGCAGGAGCAGGCGTGGAGGCCAGTGTGGCTGGAGTTGAGTGGTCCAGGGGGCGAGGAAGAGGAGGTGAGGCTGGACGGGTAGCCCGGGCTCAGACCACACAGGGCTGTGAGAGCTATGGTGAGGCTGAGGGATTCTACTTTGAGTCGGAGGGAAAGGTGTGGTAGGTTGGTTGGTTGGTTTTTCGGGTTAGCAACTCCAGGGAAAGGAGGGCACCTCTTCCAGAGAGTGTCGCCCCGGCACCAGGTCTTTGTCATGCCGGCTTTCCTCGAGCCGGGGGTTGCAGTGGGTGAGAAGGCTCCGTTTACGTGACATGGGTGCCACTGAAGTATCAGGAGTAAACAAAACGTACATTTTTGTTCTAATATTATTGACATGTCTTTTCCCCTGATAATTCATGATCAATATAAAAAATTCAAATGATACAAAGAAAATAAAAGTCCTTTCATAACCTCACTGCCCCAGAGATCATTACTGTGAATAGGTAGGTAGGCACCCATCCAGACTAAAAATGTACATGCTGTTCTATCCAAGAGGAGATTCTTACCTGCAGTGTCCTGGTCCCGGCCCCTTCCTGATGGGTGAGTGGTATTTGCCAAGGTTGTTTATCTCATCGGCCCCTGAGAGGGTGACAGGTGATAGGAAGACTGGACCGCCTGACAGCTTCTGGAATATGTCTCTTCTGAGTTTTTCCCTCCTCCACGGTGTGTTTTTTTTTTTTTTTTTAAATATTTTCTTTATTTATTTTTCGAGAGAGGGGAAGGGAAGGAGAAAGAGTGGGAGAGAAACATCAACGTGTGGTTGCCTCTCATGCGTCCCCTGCCGGGAACTGGCCTGCAACCCAGGAATGTGCCCTGACTGGGAATTGAACCGCAATACTCTGGTTCGCAGCCCCTTGCTCAATCCACTGAGCTACGCCAGCCAGGGCCTCCACGGTGTTTTGAAGTCATTGTTAGCTGGTGCATATCAACAACTAAAGATCTGTCACAACCTGTGTGTCACCAGCGGGTCTACATGTGGACTGCCGTGGCCCGTGATGGCTTACCCCCCTGTTGGCACTCAGTGGGTTTAGGCAGTGGTGCCATCACCGGCCGAGCACCCCCATGGGGCAGCTCCCCCACCTCTTGCCCCCAGAGCTCCTCCGAGAGGCCCTGCAGTGGTCATTAATTTCGAGGGTGAGGCCTGAACAAATGAGGGGTCATTTTTAGGGCAGTCCCATTGCTTGGGCTGCCGTGTTTCAGATCGTCATAAATACCCTTTGAGCGAGGGCCTTTGTTTCTTTACTTTTCATTGCTCTTTGCACAGACATGGGATTACATTGTTCATACTGTTTGGTAATACCACATTTTTTACTCAGCATGTGTGGCCATCTTTCCTCACTGTCCTCACTCAGCTGAGGGCCCTGTTTGGGGAGTTGGTGGCCCAAGTTTGAGTCCTGGTCTACTTGCTGGCTGTGTTCTGCAGTGGCGCTGGTTCGGCAAGGATGAGTTCGACCTGCTCAGCTGTGGGAGTGGGCCCAGAGGACCACTGACTGAGGAGGGAGATGGGAGGCACAGAGGCCCTGTGTGTCTGTAGGGACAGAAGTGCTCTTACTACGTCCAGCTCTCTTTGCTCATCCCTAGGATTCCAGAGCTCCCCGCAGCAGCACACCCTGTGATTTCCACTTCTCCCTTCAGAAGGCATGTGGACACCCCGCCCCGCCCAGCAGCATGGACAAAGCAAGGATCCTCTTAACTATTCAGGATGTGATGGTAAGAGTGCTGTTCTGCATCATGACCAGGAAGGGCCAGGGCTTCCTCCACAGCCGAGCAGCTGGGTCACAGGGTGGACCCCACGAGAGATTTTTTTGTTTATACTTTGCAAAACTACAGATAACAGGATTTGACTTTAACAAAAAACCTCTGGCTAATCCATTAGAAGATTTAAAACAACACAGGAGAGCTGTAGCTTAATTACATTGTTTTTATTTATTTATTTTCCTTTTGATATAAAATATAGATTAAAAATTGTTTTTCAATAACAATTCACATTAAATATTATTTTCTATTAGTTTTAGATGTATATCATAGTGGTTAGACAATCATAAATTTATAAAGTGTTCCCCCGATATTTCCAGTACCCCCCTGGCACCACATATATTTGTTACAATACTATTGACTGTGTTCCCTGTGCTTCATTTTACATCCCCACGACGGTTTTGTAACTGCCAATTTGTACTTCTTATTCCCTTCACCTTTTCCACCCATCCCTCATCATCCCCTCCCCTCTCATAACCATCAAAATGTTCATGGTGTCTATGAGTCTGTTTCAATTTTCTTTGGTCATTTATTTTGCTCTTTAGATTCCCCATAAGGTGAAATCACATGGTATCTGCCTTTCTCTGACTTATTTCACTTAGCATGTACGTACCACAGCTTTCTCATCCGCTTGTCTATTGGCGGGCACTTGGGCTGCTTCCATAGCTTCACTATTGGAAGTAACGCTGCAGTGAACAAGGGTGTGTGTGTATTCTTTCAAATTGGTGTTTGGGGTTTCTTTGGATGTATTCTCAGAAGTGGAACTGCTGGATTATGAGGCAGTTCCATTTTTAGTTTTTTGAGGAAATTCCATACTGTTTTTCACAGTGGCTGCTCCAGTCTGCACTCCCACCAGCAGTGCACTAGGCTTCCCTTTTCTCCACATCCTCGCCAACACTTGTTTGTTGATTTCATAGCCATTCGAGAGGTGCGAGGTGATGTCATATTGTGGTTTTAATTTGCATTTCTCTAATGACCAGTGATGTTGAGCATCTTTTTTATATTTCTATTCAGGTGCTCTGCACATTTCTAAAATTGAGTATTTTTTGGTGTTGAGAGTTATATGCGTTCCTTATATATTTTGGATATTAACTACCTATCAGATACATAGTTGGTGAATCTCTTCTTCCATTTAGTAGGTTGTGTTTTTGTTTGTTGATGGTTTTTTCTTTGCTATGCAAAACTTTTTAGTTTGATGTAGTCCCATTTTTTAATTTTTTTCTTTTGTTTCCCTTGCTTGAGGAGATATATCAGAAAAAAAATATTGCTGAGAGAAATTCCAACATTATTTTTAAAAAGCAATAGTAAAGGCCCACGTTAAGTGAGCACTTACTAAGTGCTGAGCCCACCGTATTGAGTGTGTAACCTCCATTGCTGTGTTACCCTGTCTGTTAAGTGCTGGGCATTTTGATTCCGTTTCGTGGTTTGAGGAAACTGAAGGGCACAGAAATGGTGCTGCTCACTCAGGCCTCAGAGGGGCCCAGACTGGAAACCCAGGCCCCGTGACTCCTGTTCCCTGGGATCAGCAAGCCAGCACAGACATGTTTGTGCTTCTGCAAGTGCCCGGCTTGCCACAGGGGCACGGTCTGTGGTACACAGTACTGATATTCTGCCTGGGAGGAAGCTCTTCTGAGGTGCCCTTCGTCGGTCATGCTTAACTGTTTTAAATGATGATCGGGGCGACCTGTCCTCTGTCAGGTCTTTCCTCTGTGACCTCATTGCTGGGAATATTGATGGAAAATGTTTTTCAAAAATGAAATTCAATGAGGAAACAACCAGACAAACCCAAATTGAGGGACAGTCTACAAGATAACTGTCCAGGAGTCTTCAAAAAGCCAGTGGAATGAGAGACAAAGCTATTCCAGATGAAAGCAGGGAAATGAATATGAACCCATACTCATGAAGAGATCATGATTATGCCATGTGAGATCCTGGGGAGGAGAAGTGCTATAAATTTGAGGATAGTTTTGGGAAATTCAGCAAAATTAAAAATGAACTATTTATGTTAGATGATAATATAGTAGTGATGTCAAATTTCCCAAATTTGGCAATTATATTGTGATTATACAAGAGACAATGCTCGTTCTCAGGGGACACATGCTGAAGTGTGCAGGCAGGCACGAGGGGTCACGATGTCCGCACCCGCGCATCCGTGGGCCACAGTGAAGAACGTGCATCGCACATACTGAGGAGGAGAAAAGGAGGAGAGGGGAACGGGGCACCGTGCTAACAGTTGGCAAATGTAGAGGAAGGGGTTTTGGATATTATATGTTCTTTTTAAAAAAATATTTTACTTATTTATTTATTTTTTTAAATATTTTTTTATTTTATTGATTACAGTTGTTCTATTTCCCCCCTTCATTCCCCTCCACCCTGCACACCCCCTCCCCCACCATTCCCCCCTTTAGTTTATGACCATGTATCTCAAGTTCTTTAGATTCTATATTTCCCACACTATTCTTGCCCTCCCCCCTGTCTATTTCCTACCTACCATCTATGCTACTTATTTTCTGTACCTTCTCCCCCCTTCTCCTTCTCCCACTCCCCTGTTGCTAACCCTCCATATGATCTTCATTTCTATGGTTCACTCCTGATCTAGTTGTCCTCTTAGTTTGCTTTTGTTTTAGGTGTGGTTGTTAATAACTGTGAGTTTGTTGTCCTTTCACTGTTCATCTTTTTTATCTTCTTTTTCTTAGGTAAGTCCCTTTAACATTTCATATAATAAGGGCTTGGTGATAATGAACTTCTTGAATTTGATCTTATCTGAGAAGCACTCTATCTGTCCTTCCATTCTAAATGAAAGTTTTGCTGGATAGAGCAATCTTGGTTGTAGGTCTTTGGTTTTCATGAGTTGGAATACTTCTTTCCAGCCCCTTCTTGCCTGTAAGGTGTCTTTTGAGAAATCTGCTGACAGTCTGATGGGAACTCTTTTGTAGGTGACTGTTCCCTTATCTCTTGCTGCTTCTAGGATTCTCTCCTTCATTTTAATCTTGGCTAATGTAATTATGATGTGCCTTGGTGTGTTCTTTCTTGGGTCCAATTTCTTTGGGACTCTCTGAGCTTCTTGGATTTCCTGGAAGTTTATTTCCTTTGCCAGAATGGGGAAGTTCTCTTTTATTATTTGTTCACATAAGGTTTCCACTTGTGCGTGACTGTTCCTCTTCCCCTTCTGGTACCCCTATAATTCGGATGTTGGAGTTTTTAAAGATGTCCTGGAGGTTCCTAAGCCTCTCCTCATTTTTTTGAATTATTGTTTCTTCATTCTTTTCTGTTTGGTCAATTTTTCCTTCCTTCTGGTCTGCTCCCTTGATTTGAGTCCCAGTTTTCTTTCCATTACTATTGGTTTCCTGTGCATTTCCATTCATTTCAATTAGTTTCGCCTTCATATGTTCCTCTAATTTGTGACCAAAATCAACCAGTTCCGTGAGCATCCTGATCACCAGTGTTTTGAACTGTGCATCTGAAAGTTTGGCTATTTCTTCATCACTTAGATTTATCGGCTCTGGGGCTCTGAGTTGTTCTTGAGCCATGTTTTGATCTGTTTGTGCCTGTTACATATGAGGAGCGGAGCCTTAGGTGTTCACCAGGGCACGGCCACCCAGATTGCTGGTTTGTGATGCTGTATGTGGGGGCGGGGTCAGAGAGAGAGAGCAATGGCGGTCCTCTCTGCTCGCTCTCTCTGCTTCACCGCTGGCCCCCGCCTGGCCCTCGCACAAATGTGCGAGCCCGCCGCCCTATGACTGGGGCCTGCGCGGTCTGTCTCAATGCTCCTCTCTTCACTGGTTTATCTGCGTGCAAATGCGTGACCGCAGACAGCCAGCCGTGCTGCGCCTTCCCTGGGTTGGCCTGTAGCTACCCTGCACCTGGGATCCACGCCCTTGGCTGCCTGTGCGCTGCCCAGGTTGGGGGATCTTTTTTGCCGGACCCGCTCCACTTCTGGCTTCACCCCTCTCACTGGTTTAGCTGAGTGGTTCGTTGTTTTCAGACTCCGTATTGTTCGATTTTCTGTGGTTTGGTTGCATTTTTGTTGTTAAAACTTTGTTGTTTTTAGATTTGGTTGTGCGAGGAAGCGAAGTGTTTCCACCTGTGCCTCCATCTTGGCGGAAGTCCCTTATTCATTTTTACAGAGAGGGGAAGGGAAGGAGAAAGACTGAGAGAGAAACATCAATGTGTGGTTGCCTCTCATGTGTCCCCTACTGGGGACCTGGCCTGCAACCCAGGCATGTACCCTGACTGGGAATCGAACTGGTAACTCTTTGCTTCACAGACCCATGCTCAATCCACTGAGCTACACCAGCCAGGGTGGATATTATATGTTCTTATAAATTTTCAATGGCTTCAAAATTTTTCAAAATAAAAAACTTTTTAAAAAGCTTTGTTAGAGCTAAGCATCAGCAAAGGCAGAAATAGAGAAAGGTAAGAAAGGATCCTCGGCTTAGAACAGCTGAGTGGGACCAGTCCACCTGGGCTTCCTGATAGTGCTGTTGGGCAGCAGCTGCGCAGGTGTCGCAGTGGGGGCAGCAGGTGCAGGGGCATGGGGTCCTTGTGGGCTGTTCCTTACAGTGGCACATAAAATCTACAATTCGCTGAAAGTAAAATGTAAAAAATAAATAAAATAAGCAGAGGCTCTGGCTGGTGTGGCTCAGTGAACTGAGTGCCGGCCTGGGAACCAAAGGGTCACAGTTGGATTCCCCCTCAGGGCAGATGCTTGGGTTGCAGGCCAGGGCCCCAGTGGGGGCCACATGAGAGGCAACCACACACTGATGTTTCTCTCCCTCCCTTCCCCCCTCTAAAAATAAATAAATAAAAGTTAAAGAAAATAAAATAAATTTTAAAAATCTGTTTAAAAATAAAATAAGCACAGATGCCCAGGTTTAACCACCCAGAGGTTCTGACTCTCATCCTGGCTTTGGGCTCAGGCATCGGATAACATTATGTTTCGAGCACCGGACGTA